GTGCGGCATTTCCCCAGAGTCCCCAGGCACCCGGGGTGGGGGGGAAGGGCACCGACTGGCAAAGGGGAGAGCAGAAGGACCAGAAGCTGCGTGCCTGGCTGGGACCTCCAGGCGTTCGGGGGCCGGGAAGACCAGGGAGCAGGGAAGTGGAAGATCTGAGTTCTCCACTGCACGTGGCTCATTTCTTGCCCTCTCCCCCAGGCGCCGTGACCCCCATGAAGGACCAGGCTCTGTGCGGCTCCTGCTGGAGCTTTGCTGCTACAGGGGGATTAGAAGGTGCCCTCTTCCTCAAGGTACCCGTCCAGCTGCCTCCCCGTGCCTGCCCACAGCCTGTGTGAGCAGGGATCACACCCCAGCCAAGACCCCTCTCCCCCGATGTCCTGCTTTTAAAGGGCCAGGTGCATATTTAACTCCTCCTGCGGATGTCCCGACTTTTCCTTCAAATTGTCTTGTATTTTCCGTCTCCCCCCATCAATACCGGGCTCGCCAGCTGCCCCCCCCCAGAGGGGTCCAGTGGCCAACCATGGGGGTGGGTGTGCCAGGCTGGTGGTGGGATGAAGGTACAGCCTGTGGGACCAGCTGTACTGATCCATCAGCGCAGCCTCCGCCATGTGCCAGCTCTCCACCGGCAGGGCCCTGCCCCCGCCCCGTTTCCACACGGCTGTGAGCTGCTGTGGCTGGTGAGTGCAGACAGGCGCCAAGTGACAGCCAGTGACTTGCCCACCCATTGGTCCTTTATGTGCTTCCCTCTCTGCTTTTCCCCTTCTCCCCCACCCTGCTGCTCTTCCATCTCTCTCTTGCTCAGCCATGCAAGTGTGCACACCCACGCACGTGCAAGCACACACATGTGTGCACATGCACACCCATACATGCACATGCACGCACATGCGTGCACACACATTGTCCCCTAGCACAAGGCTACTCTCTCCCCTGGGCACCCTGCTCTGCTGAGCCATCTCTTTGGCCGGGTTCCCTGGCCCCAGTGCTCAATTCATGCTTAGGGATTAACCCTGCCTGCCCATGATG